ACCCGAGTTTTGGCCGAAAGGGTCGGGACGAGCATACCTTCGTTTCACTTACCTTGGGTGTTGCCAACTTGCTGGATCGACGAACCCGTGAATCGATTGAAAAACATGTGAATCGATCGACAAACCCGTGAATTAATCGAATTTTGTCGACCGGTTCACGTCAATCAACGCAAGTTTTTATTTTTCGTTCGATTTAAAATGTCGATCAAATCTATACCCTACTCCTACCCTGCTCCAGTGCTCCATTTGAACTCAACCAAGCATTGAAATTTTCTTCAGTGATGCTTTAATATATTTAAAACATGAATGAAAAAGAATCTTTAAAATAACCCAGATCAAAATCATGGTTTCCTATTGGTGTTTTTAGTATCAACAAGCGCTCAAAACTATCGCAGGTGTATCTACCGCTTTACTCAGAGGAATTTCCTAACTTAAATCCCTACGTTCGGTGGATTTTTTTTTTTTTTTGAAGGGGGGGGGGCCTCTATTCCTCTCTTGATAGTTCATGAATCTACAGCCAATGGATAAAATTCAAGGGTTGTAACCTGCGATTGGGGCGGGGTAGCCCTCACTATCGGAGCTTACTCCTGCGAACACACGCTGCTCTCGTTGTTCGCTCTCCTTCTTCTGACCGAAGCCTCCCTCTGCACTGTCACTGATGTAGAACGGGTGGTATCGGGCCGGATTACTGGGGTCGTTCCCTCCTTCGATGATGAATGTATATGTTTTCCCTCGTATCACATACAGCTCAGGAATTATTTTGTCATTAATGTACCAAGCAATGCCCCAAGATGGATGACCTGCAATATAGATTCAAACAGTATCTAAATGAACTAGTTCAAGTGGCTAGACCAAGACAAATAAATTAAAAATGCAAAAAATATGACTAAGCTTAGTTCAATTTTTAATTCAAATAAAATTTTGGAGTAAGTATAAACATTCCGTATTTTTTTAAATTAAACTTTGTTTCCGAAAACTTTGAAACTTATTTCACTTTAGTATCATTAAGTTATTATCTGACGCATAGTCTTTTTCACGTGTGCCACATTTGAAAAGTTTACTTTTAATGTAAAAAATTAAAAGGTTTCCTCGTAGATTAAAATATAAGAAGACAAAATATCGATACAAGAATATTCTCTCTCTTAAGGTAGCTCCGTTTTCTGCGTGTCATGAAATATCTTATTTTTACAGACGTTACTGAAGCAGGCTTTCAATTTTGAAAATAGTCTCGAGATACTGCTCTGAAATATTTCCTTAAATTCATATGTTCAAAAACAAAATTAGCTAGGTTGTTTGAAAAAAGTCACTATTCAGCGCATGGACAATGGTGCATTGTCTACCAACCACACACAAAAATCACAAAATCACAAAATAAAAATGTCAGTAAGCAATTTCAGTTTTCTTTTTTAAGATAGACTCAATTCGTCGATCTTCTAGCGAAAGGGCGTATCTCAATTTTCACTTAAGCCCTAAAAAGCATGGATTCATACGTAAAACAAGGCTCAGTTGGTAATTAAGAAACGCCCTAATGCCAGAGGGGCAACGCGACGAATTGCCCTCAAATTATCTTATGAGCAATTTTAGCTTCAAGCAATCAAACAGTGTTGTTATTCAACTTATTCTTCCCAAACTTAGGATATTATCACAAAAATTAAAACGCTGAATGCACACTTCGTCACCTCCCAGTCAAAGTACCATAAGCGCCATGTGACGTATTCAAAATTTCCGCCGCCATTGTAATTTTTTTACAGAGAAACTGTTGGTTGAATCTATTTGAAAATACTACTGAATTTTATCGGTAGCAAAAGGAAAACTCAGTGAAATTTTCGGACAGCTCCGTTAGACAATTTCTCTGTAAAAAATAAAATGGCGGCGGAAATTTTGAAACGTCGCATGGCGCTTGTGATACTTTGGCCAGAGGGTGACGATTTGTCAGTTTAGATTTTTGAAATAGAGGCGATCGCCTTCAAATTGCCGTGTAGGCAACTTTAACTTCGAGCAATCAATATAAATTGCCTAAGCGTAGTATTGAAGGCGTTTCGAATTTCCGATTGGGGATGGAGGAACCTCGCTACTTTTTTCACCGAAAGCAAGGAATACAATCGTTGAGAGATGAGATATTATTGATGTGTTAACCTGTTATGGGTGTGTAGCCTCTTTTGCCACCGGTGGGTCCGATGCGGGCTGTAAATACGGTCTCGTCGATGATTTTCATCGGTGGCCATGCTTCGACAGGCGTTTCCTCTGGTTGATTGAACAGTGAGGACGTGCACGTCTGATCGTTCTGCGATCCGAAGTTTATCCGGATATCATCTGAAATATGAAAGTAACTTTAATATTCCATACTTCAAATAAAACTGGGGCACCGCACCCCCCCCCCCCAATGCGCCCATTTAGCTTCCCTTAATTTAATGGGCGGGAATCGCCACTGTTAAAATTATGCCTCTTGAGCGGAAGAAACATTTTATTTTGAATATTCAAAGGAAAAAATTAAATGTTGGTTTAGCATTTGCCTTTATTGTTAAAACATGTCGACAAGTTTCAAACGCTGATTTTTCATTTGAAAAAATGCTAACTTTTAAAAATGCTAAAAATGCTAACTACACCCACAGCAAAATGAACAGATTCAAATGTTGAGTTAACATTTTTGTGTTGTGAAATCAGCATATGGAGCTCGATGGACTTTTTTTAAAACAATTTTAATGCTAAATGCACCTTTAATTTTTTTCCGTGTTGTTTTCGGAGTAGGTACGTTTTTTTCATGTGTTTTTCGAAGGCCCTGCCGCCAGTTCGGATTTGTTACGTAATGCTGCCCTTGAACCCCCCCCCCCCCCCCCCNATAACGCACCGTGACGATGGCTCAACCCCCCCCTCCCTCCAAAGTGCGTTACGTAATACTTGAACGGCCCCTAGTAACTCATATGCATGCTTCATGATAGAGTGAACCTTCATAGGGAGAGTATGACCAACTCGATTTATGTAGCTCTTAGATCCCAAAAGGGCGGCAACGTGTAAAACGAAAATCACTGGAAAAGTGCCGCTGCCAACCTATGCATTTGAAAGATTAATCAATATGGCCGACAGCGCATTGTACACAAGCGTCTTTAAGGATTAAGACTTTGAAACTGAGAAAATTTATGCGAAATCAAAGTTGTATACGTGCTTTTATAATTCATGAAACGACGGGTAGTAAAAATGGAGATGTTGCATGTGTGAGGAATTTGCGATTTGACTATTGATTCTTATGTGAAAGTGGCGAGAAACATGATGATGCCTCTGGTTTTCTCTGAGATCAACTCCCAAGCTCAAAAAAAGCTCTCAAGTTGGGGCCAAAATGGAGGGGATATTCCACGCTATCCTGAGAGTTCACCTCTACATCAAAACAAACTCCCCATGCAAAGATAGGGAGCAAATACATTGACAGGGCTGCCACTTTATTTGGGGACTCCAAAACTGAAAACACGGCAACCCTGCTATTGTACTTGCTCCCTACTTTTGCATGGAGAGTTTGTCTTGATGTAGACGTGGATTCTCAGGATAGCCTGGGATATCCCCTCCATTTTGGCCTCAACTTGAGAGCTTTTTTTGAGCTTGGGAGTTGATTTCAGAGAAAACCAGTGGCACCATCGTGTTTCTCGCAAACTTTTACATAAGAATCAATAGTCAAATCGCAAATTCCTCACACATGCAACATCTCCATTGTTGAATCCCCGAAAGTAAAAGCTGCCATCTGGTGACAAGAGGCCAGTGGAGGGTCACTGGAAAAAAAAAACACATTGGATCTAGAGTCCAGACTCTTAAAAACATGGACAAGAAAAAACACTCTTGATTCAATCGGATTTTTGCTTGGATCTAGAACCAAGCCTCTTAATTTAAGCGGATTTCCTTTTGATTTAAGCTGAAATCTGATTGAATCAAGAGTATTTTTTCTTGTCGATGTTTTCAAGAGTCTGGCCTCTAGATCCGATGTGTTTTTTTCCAGTGGAGGGTCTCTTGGTCCCTGGATGGGACTTACCTGTGGTCTTGTCCTCAGCCTCGTGTGCGTTGGCCTCGAGGCGGGCGTTGAGGGGCCCGATGGCGGCGATGACGACGACCTCCCGGTCGAGGGGGACGGGGCGGTCGTTGATTGGCTCGTTGGTCTGGAGGGGGCGTCGGTACGTGACGACGGTGACGCCGTTGCGCCGTTCGCCGGCGACGAGTTCGACGTCGTCGCGGCCGCCGATCCGCTCGTCCGGGCAGACGCCGTTGGCCCCGTCGCACTGGGCCGTCGCCGAGAGGTAGTAGTCCACCGCCCGGAAGGCCCCCGCGTCCCGGTCCAGGAACGAGATCACTACGTCCGCGCCCAGCATCGAGGCCCTGGAACGAGATGTCGAGCGTCATATCAAAAAGTCCACTCTCGTGGAAAAAAATACATACATACTTAAAGCCGCTTTTATAGCGCCGCCTCGCGCTCTGCGACGCCCAATCGCCATTGCCCCCTATCCTCCCAGAGATCATCAGGCAATTGGCACCTTCTGATCTCCTCCTCCATCCCTTGTAATAAAAAAAAAATTTGTAATAAAAATCCCCTTGGAAAAAAAATATCTAAAATTAAATTGATTGAAAATTGAACGTAAAATGCATGTAGGTTGATTGGATTACATTTTGCAAGAAGGAGCCACTGTCTCTGGCTCTCCCAGAAAAGCACGTATCTGAATAAGAAAACCAATGAAATGTATGTTGTTTCTAGAATGAGTCAGAAATATTGGTTCCTTATAGCAAAATGTAATTCAATTGAACGTATTTTTGTCAAACAGAACTAAGCGCCATAGGGGGAGGAAGGTAGAGGGGGGCTTGGATTGGCGGCGGAACCGGGTGTCGCGCGTCGGGCTCATTCCGTCCTATACTCGCAATGCTTTTCCATGGCGCTTAGTTCCGTTTGATAGAACGCACTATCCGGCATTCGAAATTCCTCAAAGGAAATCAAATTTGCGCTTAGTTCCGTTTGACAGAAATACGTCCAAATAAGCTACATGCATTTTTTGTTCAATTTTCTCATCGCCTTAACTTCCACATGCAATTATAAATTTAACCTGAAACTTGAGAATGTAGGACTTGGAATTTTAAGACGTCTTAAGACTTTGGAATTTAAATTCAAAAGAACATAGGTAATTCACTTTGACTTAAGCCCCATCATGCCTGTATTCTAATGAATCGTAGGTTTCATGTCAGAATGGATATAGTTCCTTTAAATTTATATACCTCAATATCTTCCTCAATTCTGAGCTTTCTGGGTCGATTTGACGTCGAATCATACCCTCACCCTCTGAAGGTAATTGAAATCAAATCTGTCGATTTTTTTAATCATCCAAACGATCTCTAGGAGTCTTTCGGACGATTAGTCGCAATTTGACAAAGAACGGAGGCTTTTTTCGATGAAATTTTCCGGACAGACGTTTCTGAGTCCGTTTTCTGAAAACTTCATTTTTGCACTTGCTCTCTTTGATATGACGGCAGAGGTACTCTAAGTAACAGCAGCGGAAACAAAGAGAGATGGGTCCGCGATCGCGCCGATCGCGTAAGCAGTTACGGTGATTTTCAAATAGCACCTGCTATTGATTTTGCGATTTTCTAATGAAAAATTGCATTGCTGAAGTTTGAAACACCAAAATAAGACCATTTTCAGCATTATTTTAAACGGAATTTTTTTTTTTTTTCGATGCGATAATTTTTTAATTTGTTGCTATGATACCCTGTCTATGAAAATGAAAGTCGCACTGAAAAAAAAAACTCCGGCCGTGGGAGCCGCAATTACGAGCTATATAGACATACCGTCCGTTCCGGGCTCAAAGGCCGAAAATTCCGGCTGCTGGAGGCGCAGCTTCGATTGCTCCGAGTTCAGAGGCCGAAACTACGGCTCCAGCAGCCCGAATTTTCGGCCTTTCAGCCCGGAACGGACGGTATGTCTATATAGCCTGTAATTGCGGCTCCCACGGCCGGAGTTTTTTTTCAGTGCGCTTTCTTGGATTTTTAGAATATTATTGCACTTTTGATTCCCCCGGTTAACTGCTATTTGAGTGATTTTTCACTGCTATTTTCGAAAAATAGTGATCGCTATCACTGCTAATGTAAAATAACAATTCAGACCATCTCCAGAAGCAAAGAGAGCTATGAAAAAGATATGATGACGTGTGTTACCTGTTCTCATCACCGCTGAGGCCGAAGGCGACGTAGTGACTGTCGCCCATTCTGGCGGCGACGCGGACAAGCAATGAGTCGCCCTGGACTTCCCACTGGACTTGGACGCGATCTGGTATCAGCTCCCGGCAGTTGCTCAGCTCCGTTTCGTTCCAGCTTCCGCCCCCGCTTGAGGCTGTAGTGCTACTCGTCTGCACCGTCCCAAACAGACAAATATACCGTTACTAAGAGCCTCAAAGCGATAGATTATAGTCAAAGCTTACCTAAATGAGCTTTCACAGTAATTATTAATTCTTGCATTTTTCAAAAATAGAAATTTGGAAAAAATGTATTGCTACTTAACAATTAAATTGTCAAAAAATGTGTCCGACATGTGTCAAATGTGCATTTTACAATGGTGGAAAGCTAACTTAATTACAGGAGTGGTAAAATTAGCATTTTTTAATCGGAAAATGTGCGTTGCAGCATGTCGGACACTTTTTTCAACTACAAACCTGTTAAATCAACAATATCAATTTTTCCCGTAAAAGTACATCATTGATAAGCTCACAGGAATAAAATTTCCCCGGACTTTATTCAACACATCGTCGTTTCTCGGACGAGGGAACATGACTCCATTCCAAGGCTGCAAAATTAACTCAAACAATCCAGGTTTTTACAAAAATTTACCGGCGTAATTTTTGTCGAAAAATTTTTCCGATTTTTGTATGAGATCAAGAGAAAAATACAGGTAAATTTTTTGTCAGAAATGTCCAAGATTCTCTTGATAAAAATGTAATTTGTGAGGGAAAATCTGTCAACGTTGAAAAGGGGAACGACGTATTATCCCTTGAAAAACGGAGGCACAGCCGTGTGAATAGAATATTTGGGTGTAAAATGACTTGATTGTCACAACAATGTCTGAAAATCGCTCCTTTTTGCGCAATTTTGGGTAGTTTGGAACACGCTTTTTCAAATTTCCTGCGTCGAAGGGCACTTTTCCAGTCACCGGAAACGATCAAACGACAACCTCTGGCCGCAGAGATGGTTACCGGTAAATGCCGGAAGTTGCAGATTCGTTGTTGTGGTCGTTCGTTTGTTTTGTTTACAAGAAAACGCGATCCGTAAAAGTGGTCCATGTCTCAGGTTATTACGATGCGTTTCATCAATCCATAAAATATTATGCTTAGAATTGTCAATTTCTGTAACTGAAATCACCGGAAATCGCAGGAAGTTGCCGGAAATCGCAGGAAGTTGCCGGCAATCGCCGCAAGTTTCCGACACTTGTTTCAGACAGGAGACAGGGTGAGAACTGGCCCACGACGCACAATGGATCGAGTCAATGGAAGAGGTTGGACAAGATTTGGAAACTTTAAAAGCTCATAACTCCGTTCATACAGCAATTTGAAGTTATAAATTGATTTCACTGGTTTCCTCGTAAATTTTCCGTCTAAAAACACCCCTTAAAATTTAAAATGTGGCAAATTTAACATCAAAATTTGCAGTTTCAGTCAAAAATTTCATGTCCGACCTCTCTCATTGACTCGAACCACTGTGCGACGCGGGAAATGCAAAAAAGCGTATTCCTAACTCCGCGAACTGTGCACTTAAGAATGGATTTTAGAATATCTTATTTAATGTGACTATCGTGATTTTTGTGTCGTTTTACCTCTTACATGTATCTTCCAACTTCAGTATACCTAGCATGCAACAAACCAGATCCATGAAAAGTTAAGTCATACGAAATCGCCAAGGTGAAGTATGAGAGAGGAACTCACACCAATGATCTTGGATCGCTCTTCACTCTGTCTTAGTTTTTTAATCACGTTTTGTAGGTTTTCCATCTAGCAAATCCGTCTTTTTCTCCCTTAAAATAATGTATAGAAATAAAATAATCATATTAAAGACAGTCTTACCGGGCTATACCACCATGGTGGCTGAAGGCATGAAAAAAATTGAAAAATGAATCAATAATTGTTCGTTTTCAATCAAGGTATTTGATCAAGAAATGATATTCACACATCAAAATAATGCAAACTATAATGCAATGCAGCCTCAGACAATGTGTCACTAAACCATGAACGATACATTTTTAAAGGTCAATGCGAATAGGAATTTTTATCAGAATACAATACAGTGTATTTCATTGCAATGTATTTATCATTTAAGGGTCTAAAATATCGTTGGTTGAAGTGCGAAACCACGTATCTCCGTTTGCAACGCCGCAGACTTCCTGTTATTTTTACTTCTTCTTTAGGAAACTTCATAGTTATTGTACTTTCTTGGAATCCTCCTTGACTTTTTGTCTTCGTTGGTTTAAAATCTGTAAACGTTTCAACCTATAAGGTTGGCTTGTTTCTCTTCGAAAAAATGAAAAAAGAGCGGAAATTTCGAGACATAGCAATGGAGATATGTGATTTTGCACTTTGACCATCGATATGTTGTCATCGTTCCAAATCCAATTCTCTCCATTCCGAGTTGATGTCACTTTAAGAATAGCTGTTTAATCAGGGACTTTGATCCAAACTCTTACTGGCGGACTGATGATTATTGAAATTGATAAACAAAAGCATTTGTCGCAGAACACATAGGGAAAATATAGAGCGATCTTATCCTATGGATGGAAGTGGGCGTTTGCAATCATGGACACAGGAGATAAGTGATAGACTAACTAACGGCAACTCACGAGAGACCCAATAGTTAGTCCATCATTTTCACCCGTTAGTCCGTAAGAACCACCATTAGGTATTCGTCACTTTCCGGCCAAAGTATCACAAGCGCCAAGCGACGTTTTAAAATTTCCGCCGCCATTTTATTTTTTTTACAGAGCTATTGTTCAACGAAGCTGTCCGAAAATTTCACTGAATTTTCTCTGAGCTGCTGAAAAAATTTGGTGAAATTTTTAAACATATTCAACCAACAACTTCTCTGTACAAAAATAAAATGGCGGCGGGAATTTTGAAACTTCGCAGGGCGCTTGTGATACTTTGACCAGAGGGTGATCTATTGACGAATGGGACCGCTCTGTAAGTATGGTCCCTTCTGAGTCCCCCCAAAAAAGTTAAAATTCCTCAGATTGGCGCCCTTCACTCCCTTCAGGCGTCAACCAACCCTGCGAGAGCACTCTCGGACCCAGACAGTGACGCCATAGGTGCTGCTTTCTGGTTGGTCGTGAGGGCCTCAGTTCGTTTTCGCCTCCTCGGTTTGACTTGATGTAAGTTTTGTTGCTTTAGATATTATTCCCTGTTCAGGTGGTGCAACTTAAGGACTACCCCACTTAATCCATCGGTCGGGTCGGCTGTGTAGTGTCAAAGTTAATTTTGGTCACGTCAAACAAAATTTGTGTCTTCTGGTTTATTTATCCTTTCCTAAAATTTGAGGCATGTGGGGTAACGGCAGTCTCGTCTGCTAGCCGGCCGCTCAGTTCTAGTTCCTCACAGGCTAGTTCTTCGACCCACAACGCTTCAGATCCATTTTCCCTTCGTCATCTTTGTCTATTGCTTTGTCGATTGATTTTTTGATAATCATTCCGCAGTAGTCCGTCACTTCCTCTCCTATTCAAAAATTGAAGAGAGAGAAAGAGAGGTCATGGGAGGAGAAGAAGAGAGAGAAGAAAAGAGAGAAGGAAGGAGAGAAGAGAAGAGAGAGGAAAAGAGAGGAAAAAAGAGAGAAGGAAGGAGAGAAGAGATGAGAGGAGAAAAGAGAGAAGGAAGGAGAGAAGAAAAGAGAGGAAAAAAGAGAGAAGTTAGTAGTAGTAAAATAATTTTATTTTAAGGAGAGAAGAAAAGAGAGGAAAAAAGAGAGAAGGAAGGACAGAAGAAAAAAGAGGAGAAAAGAGAGAAGAAAAGAAAGAAGGAAAGAGAGAAGAAAAAAGAGAGAAGGAAGGACAGAAGAAAAAAGAGGAGAAAAGAGAGAAGAAAAGAGAGAAGAAAAGAAAGAAGAAAAGAGAGAAGAAAAAAGAGAAGAAAAGAAAGAAGAAAAGAGAAGAAAAAAGAGAGAAGGAAGGAGAGAAGAAAAGAGAAGAAAAAAGCCAAGGAAAAGAGGTCAGGAAGAGGAGGGGAGAGAAAGAAGAGAATAGAGGGAGAGGGAGGCGGAGAGGGAGAGAAAGATAGAGAGAAAGAAAGAAACCCGTGATAAAAAACGGTCCGGAGACGCTTTTGTACCTGCTACGCGGTGCGAGGGTGGAATCTCAAGCGGGCGTCGCGACAAAGCCGAGAGCGATAGCATGTAATAACTGCGGAAGGGGAGGGTGGGCGAGGGCGAAATAAACGAAATATGATTTTCCGGAACTGTTGCTCCTGGGAGGGGGCGTCCGTCCGGGGCCAGGCCCAGGGCCCGGAAGGGCGCGAGGGCTCAGGGATGTCCCCCTCGATTTGAGGATATTAACGCGCTCCGGGCTCGAGGGTGGATTTGCGCCCCCTCCCCCTCCCCCTCATTTCCGCCCGCTCCTTTTTTTGTGACAAGTCGCACGCTTTGGAGTCGCTTCCGTCAAGGATGGTCGCGCGCGCCCCTGGTGCCGGATAGGGATTTTTTTGTGCTTTCTCTGTGCTCCCGTGCTAAGGAAAAACGCCGTATGAGCCATCGGCCCTTGCCAAATTTCCTTTGATAAAACACGAATGGAGATGTTGCATGTGTGAGGAATTTTCGATTCGACTGTTGATTCTTATGTAAAAGTTCGCGAGAAACACGATGGTGCCACTGGTTTTCTCTGAAATCAACTCCCAAGCTCAAGAAAAGCTCACAAGTTGAGGCCAAAATGGAGGGGATATCCGACGCTATCCTGAGAGTCCACCTCTACATCAAAACAAACTCTCCATGCAAAGATAGGGAGCAAATACATTGACAGGGCTGCCACTTTATTTGGGGACTCTAGAACTGAAAACACGGCAGCACTTCTAATGTATTTATTTGCTCTCTATCTTTGCATGGAGAGTTTTTCTTGATGTAGACGTGGACTCCCAGTATAGCGTGGGATATCCCCTCCATTTTGGCCTGAACTTGAGAGCTTTTTTTGAGCTTGGGAGTTGATTTCAGAAAAAACCAGTGGCACCATCGTGATTCTCGGGAACTTTTACATAGAAATCAACAGTCAAATCGCAAATTCCTCACACATGCAACATCTCCATTGCGGAAGAGTTCCGCAAGTGAGAAATTGGCACTTCCCTTGCTTTTAAGATCAAATACCCTGCTCATCAAAGATTAAAGAGAGCTCAAATTAAAGAGGAGCCCAGTAAGAGATTTACGGTGCGGTCATAATTTTAATATGCTGTATCTTTATTAAACGTTTACATTTGTAGATACCTCGTATCAGAAAAAGAAAGGAATTTTCGTGTAATTATTTGCCGAATGATAAGTTTGTTTTCAAGAATTGAGTTGACTTCCATTGGCTGTCGTATTATTCTTTTCGCGAACAGGGCGTTCAAATTCCCTGATTTTCAGGTGAACACTAAACAACCATCGCTAATACCTCGTTTAACTCATGACTGCGACATTTTTAATGCCTTCAACGAGTTTAGCACGGAACTCTAACAAGGCAACTTGTTTTAGAACGATTGCTTTTGTACGTAAATGCATCGCGCTCTCCTATATTCCATCATGGCGCGAGGATGCAGCTATTCGCACTCGATGGATGTCCGCGTTGCGTTCAAAAAATTGAAGGCGCGCCGGCTTGCCTCATTCTCAGCAACTGAACTATGCTGTCGCGTGTATTTACCAATGGCACATTTGCTGAAATAATGGTCCCTTGTAGCAGAATTTAGTTCAATTAATGCACGAAGGCATGATTTCTTGATAATCGTCTGCTGATGAGAACCCATTATCCGAAATAGTATTGAAGCAGATCTGACTGTTATATAGAGCCTCATACATACTAATCGTAAGAACGAACTATTTTTCATGCAATGATACAATACACCTAACATGGAATTTTAGGGGATAAAAACATTAAAAAGAACTTTACTCTTTGGTTTAACAAGCTAGGTGTAAGTCGTTTTCAAGTGTACGTATTGCGACCATACTCCCTTTGATCTTTGGTGCGTAAAGGTCTCTTTTCTCGACCCTTCTGCCGTACTCTCCCCTCTTTCACAACAGAGACGCCACTTTAATGAGGTCTACGTTCAGAATATACTCTTTGTAAAGACATTAATAGCCTAAGTTGCTGAATGTCTCTAAATGAATTAATTAACTAACTAACTATTTACTACTGCGTCAAAATTTGAAAAGTAATCAGCTAAATTTACTATACAGCAGAAGCTTAATTATCAATTATTTTTGAGTAGGGCAAAAAGTGGTAAAATTTTGAATGCGTGGCCACGTTGAGAAATTACATTTAGGTAATGTGATTGCTTCGCTCCTAAAATTAAGCATCTAGGCATTAAGAAAAAAAAGAAGAAAAAAACAGTGGTAAATTTGTATTCCTCAAAAATTGAGGAATGAACGCTGTAATCGTGTTTTAATTATACTTTGTTTGCTGGACCATTTAGGCTTATGATAGGATTCCTTTAAATTTGCTACGATATCTATTACTTGTATTCTTCTTTGAAACAAGTGCAAGGGTTGAATGTTTGTGGACGTATTTTAAAGTATCTCTGGTAGTATCATTCGGCAAATATTAAAAAAGTGTAAAGTCTAAAGACACAATAAAAACTCTTAACATATCTGATTTGCCAAACCCATTTTGCCCTCTTACGTAAAAACACCATCTTCCACTTTCATGATTATTTCGTCATCCTACTTGATTTATAACTTTACTATGTGTGATTTTAGTTTTTTATGTCGTATATTTCACGTGCATTCTACGGATAATTTTAGTCTTTTACGTCACTTTTCATTTCTTGTTTCCTTACAACATTAGTGGTTTTTAAAAGAACTTAATTTTGATACCAAATTTGTTTCCTAATTGTCTTTAAACTTAAATGACACCTAAATTTGACTCAAGGAAGACCAAGAAGGGTTTCAAAACTCCTACATCACAACAATTTTTTTCTAAATTCCAAATATAACAGTCAATAATACTAAGAATTCTTTGATATGATGTGGCAAAATCTTTACCACATCATGTTAGTGGTTCAAATTCTATTTGAAAGTAGCTTTTGAGCGCCGAGCTTTCTCCCTCCCCTCCCTCTCCGCCAGCGTGAAACGGAAAGTTAATTAAAACGATGGCATCTAAAGTGGGTACACCCTTCTCTCTCGCTGTATCTCATTGTCGCCTAAAAAAAAAAAAGTTTTGGCGAGGGTGAAGAAACCCAGAGCCTGAGGCAGAGGGTAGAGGGAAAAAACAGAAGTGAAGACGGAATCCTTAGAGGTGTGCTCAAACTCAAACTCAAGTTCGTCAATGAAGTGAGTTTGTAAAAATTAATGGTCTTGAGAACAGTTCATTAGAGGCGGACTATAGTGATAATGCCAGTCCAAAAATTAAATTAAACATTTTTGCAAATAGCAAGGTTTAAATTATAAAAATAAATAAAATTGGCTTATCTTCACCTTGCTTAGCTTAGCTTTACCTTTCTCTCCTTATCACTATCGCTGTTATCAAAGTACTTATATTTTAAGTATGATGAATCATTTCATTATTTTTCTGATGTGTTTTACTGTTCTTTTGATATTATCCATCGGTTTTTTAATATTTTTAACATTTTAGTTTAAGCATGTTAAAACCACGTAGTACTATCACTGATGATGGGCCGTGCTCGAAAGGTGCTCATGATTCTTAATAAACTTTTTTCAATATATTTAGTATGCGAGGTAAGGCTAAGCCAATTTTATTCATTTTCAAGAATTAAATCATTGCAGGAGCTTCTGATAACGACTTCTTTGCCGTATGTTAAACTTGTCGGTCAAATTAAGAAGCAGTTGTGCTGTAGAGGTTCAGGTGTTATGCAAAGGAGATGCAGCCATAACAAGTGCTTTTAGTGTCCAAAGCGAAGGTGAAAAATGAAGCAGGCAGAATAAATAAAACGAATGACTAAACAAAATAAAAAGATGTATTAACCAAATAAATAATAACGTGTACAAAAATAAAAAATAATACCCAAAATAACAAAAGCACCTTAAAAAGCAGCTTCAAGCGGTCAGAACTGCACTCAACTTGTTTGCGGAGACGCTCATTAGAAATGAATTATTTTCTGAATATGTTTTATGTTCTTATGTTTCATTTTACTATGCAATAACATTAGAATTAAGAGTTGTTATACTTATTTACTCTTAAACTAAGTTTCTACATACATACATGAATAAATACGGAGAGAACAGTGACTCATGACTGATGTGAGCTTTGTTTGCAGCTAAAAAATGAAAAATAAATTTAGCATTAAACTGTAACCCTCCTGTGGCCAACAAGTCAAATTAAGGTATTTTTGGTGACACTGTTGCTAAATAAATACACCAGAGACATAATTGTCATATTTCAATTTCCGGTAAAAAAGTTCTGACCACAAAAAGCTGACAATAAATAAGAAAAATAAAATCATCCAGGCACACCGGTTATTTTTTATGAGATTACAAAATTATAAAAGAACAAAATAATTCTAAAATAAAATCAAAACGCATTTATACCATACAGCAGAAAATTAAAGTGACCGATCACCTGAAGCTAGAAAAGTCTGGCAAGTGGGTTACTATCAATAAAAATAAATTATTTCGTATGAAGAAATTCTCAATTTACTGAAAATAAATAACGTGAAGAAAATGTAGGCAAGAGTATGAAAAATTAATACGTTTCTTGGTGAAGTATTTTCTAACTAAGCTCGTATATGAAGCGCTGGGTGCAAAAAGGGCATTTCTTGGTTGCGGTGTCCATGAATCTTTGCTAACGTTTCATCCAGTGTAATTAAAGAAAATGTATGAAATTCGTTGGAACTTTTACTGAATTTTCTTCATGATTCTACAATGTTGAAAACGAAAAATTTCAGAAATTTCAACCAATAGTTTCCTCTCTAAAATTTAAAGTAGCAGTAGATATTCTGAAACACCGCAATCAAGATACACCCTCTCTGCACCCAACGCCTCATATGGACTGCATTTTGCAATTTGGAACTATATGTAAAATTAAGTTTACGTGCAACTTTTTTCCAAAATTGGACTTAAATGTCTGACAATTTCAATGACGATTTTATGGTTCTACGGCATATTAAACTAGTTAATCAATCGTAGCGATAAACTTCTAATATTAAAAATAAATTCTATTATCTTCCCCGAGTACAACCTACGCTGTATCTAACACTGTCTTCAAGATTAAGTTTTAGTTTAATAGTAAATTTAAAATTAACAATTACTTGGTGAGAAGCAAAAAATATCTTCTATTCTGAATGATTTTTAGAAAATTTCGAAGAAGCAACATTTCTACAACACTATAATTGCACTGGTTCCTTTTTGGTGAAGGCGATCCATTTATGCCGACAGAAATACTGACAAAAGGCGTCAGCGCGTGAGTTACCGGAAAACGGTAGATCCTGCCGTTCCATTTAGGTTCTCTTCGTTTGAGAAAATATCATTTAATCATTGGCGGATCCAGAAAATTGGCAACATTGTTTTTCTCCATTTAAACCTATGGAAATGTATAGATTCGTTGAAGGGACAGGTGCTCCGACAAGAATCGATCATTTAACGTAGATTTAAATGGAGAGAATCCGGTGTCGCCAAATTGCTGAATTCGCCTCTGCCTTTAATGCGTAAGGTTTTCATGTTTAAAAAAAATCGCATTTTTTTGGAAATTTGGCAAAAAGTGACGCGTGACAAGGAGAGAGAATTGCGGATTTGCGGAGAAGCACGTGTTCCCTGCTCCACGCTCTGCCCAAAGTGAGCCTGTTAGAATTGATTTAAATATTTGTTCTCGACTAGGGAACGAGGGAAATTCCGTCGAACAAAGGAACACGAAAAATCTGGATTTTACTCGCGAGTCAATTTACGGTTGCCACAACTCTGGCTAAAAAACCGGGATTATCATTCAAACTGAGAATCTAAAAAAATACTTAAATTGATAAAATAAAGGCTAAAAAGTTTACATGAATGTAGTTATCACGTGAAAATTGACTTTAGACCACGGGGGCAAACGATTTATATGTATTTAATCAGCCCGCAGTCGACGATTTCTGCACGGAGAAAAAAACTTCGTGCGTGGGACCCGAAGTTGAGGTCATATGGATCTCTGAAGTTTTCGGATCACGTATCTAAAAACTTGAGGTCCAGCTGCCGAAGTTCGGGTCAGACATCTGAAGTACTTCGATACATACCGAAGGGTTCGGGTCACACATCTGAATTACTCCGGTACATACCGAAGTGCCTCGATGTCTGACACGAACTTCGGCAGCTCGACTTCAAGTTTTCGGATGCGTGATCAGAAAACTTCAGAGATCCATACGACCTAAACTTCGGGTCTCATGCACGAAGTTTTTTTCTCCGTGTGGATGGGAAAAAAGTTGTGATTTAAATTTTAATTTGTTTAACAATGGGCTGAAGGGTGAAGATGCCCGAAACCTATGTGAATATAGGTAACCCTCCGAATACATTTCAGGATATGATGCCCGTGCTATCTAATTATTTTTTCCTAAAGCAAAAACTGATTATGACTCCTACTGGAGATGCCATCAGAAGTGGCCCCAGAACCAGTCGACGACTGGTCTGGGCGTGGTGGGTCTTCGCCTTTTCTTCTTGTTGCCTTGGTTCCCCTGGTTCCCCTGATTACTTACGGTGATTTTGGTCTGTCCGAGGGCCGGCGGAACGTCCAGGTCGTGGGGGATGTAGACGTGGCCGAAGTTGTGCCGGTACTGGACGCACCAAACGGCCAGCCAGTCGATGTCGTACACGGTCATGTTGCGTGGTAGCTGGATCTCGATGTCCTCGCCTTGGTAACCCCGCAGAGGCTCCAGGCTGCAACAATGAACGGAAGATTTAACATTTACTCATCATCCCATCCTCAAGCACCGATGGAGATGTTGCATGTGTGAGGAATTTGCGATTTAACTGTTGATTCTTACGTAAAAGTTCGCGAGAAACACGATGGTGCCACTGGTTTTCTCTGAAATCCACTCCCAAGCTCAAAAAAGCTTTCAAGTTGAGGCCAAAATGGAGGGAATATCCCACGCTATCCTGCAGCCCGATTGTTGAAATTTATGTCGGCACGAAAAAAATTGAAAATCGATGTATTACACGGCGCAAATAGGGCTATGTCTTGTCTTATCGTGCCGACATAGCCAGTTGAAGTTTCAACAATCCGGCTGCTGAGAGTCCACCTCTACATCGAGGCAAACTCTCCATGCAAAGATAGGGAACAAACGTATTGACAGGGTTGCCGTGATTTCAGTTTTGGAGTCCCCAAATAAAGTGGCAGCCCTGTGAATGTATTTGTTCCCTATCTTTGCATGGAGAGTTTGTCTTGATGTAGAGGTGGACTCTCAGGATAGCGTGGGATATCCCCTCCATTTTGGCTTCAACTTAAGAGCTTTTTTTGAGCTTGCGAGTTGATTTCAGAGAAAACCAGTGGCACCATCGTGTTTCTCGCGAACTTTTACATGAGAATCAACAGTCAAATCGCAAATTCCTCACACATGCAACATCTTCATTCTGCCCCGATAAGGAAGAACGCTGTATGAACATTCAAGAGTTGCTAAATTTCCTTCGATAAAATTTTTATTTTTGAGGAAAATTATGAATATTTTTCCTTGGAATTTCCAGTACTTTTAGATCAAATTACAAACAAAATTATCTGAGAAATTGCTAGACAAATGTGCAAAATATTCCCTGAAAATTAGTGATTTGCCGGGAGAAATCTGGCAACGCCTGAAGGCTCATGCGGCGTTTTTGCCTGGGAACGGCAAAATTATTCTTACTTTTTTTCTCTTTTTTTTAAAAAAATAAAAATAATAAAACTTTTTTAAAAGAACTCTTCCCATTGAGGCAACTTTATGAGAGTTACATCTTGGTTAGACGAGAATCAGCCATTTGCATTGGTCTCAAAATCGTGCTTTGATTCTTGATTCTTGTCGATCAGTTAAAAATCTGAAGATCTGTTTAAACAGCAAGTCTCTACGTTCATTATTGACCGAGATAACGTCCTTTGAGAAATTCGGTTTATGACGTCATCCACCGCGGTAGTGACACCCTTGGTATCTCCCACCTTGCTTTCATCAATCAGTGAGCCACTCATTTCCAATGGTTACTCAACTTGAAACTTGGATGCAGGGTGGGAGAAACCAAGGGTGTTACTATCACGGTGGATGACGTCATAAACCGAATTTCTCAAAGGACGTTATCTCGGTCAATAATGAACGTAGAGACTTTGCCAATGCGCTCATCGTGATTTTTGAGACATTTTCGACGAGTGACAACTCTGATTTTTCTTCTAGCAAAAGTTTTCAACAGACCCATTCATCATACACTGGAAAAATAACACATTGGATCTAGAGTCCAGACTCTTAAAAACATCGACAAGATAAAATACTCATGATTCAATCGGATTTTTGCTTAATTCATGAACCAAGCCTCTTAATTTGAGCGGATTTCTTTTTGATTTAAGCAGAAATCTGATTGAATCAAGAGTATTTTTTCATGTCAATGTTTTCAAGAGTTTGGACTCTAGATCCAATGTGTTTTTTTTTCCAGTGTATTTATGACACCTGGAAATTCTGTATTGAGGAAAAAGAGTATGTCGCCAAGTTGGATGACTGTATTGGTGGACTCACCTGCCGACTTCGTTGGGGACTTTGACGCCGAATGAGGTGGGCTCGGAGCCGTTGCCGACCCAGAAGTAGGCGTCGGGCCCTGCACCGTCGTAGTGTAGGTTCGGGATGTAGAAGGTCTTGGCGTCGAGGATCGTGATGTTCCCGGAGCGGAGACCGTGCGCCAGCCGCTTGAACTCCGGCAGCACGCGGCGACGAGGCGGCTCCAAGTCCTCCGGGATGAACACCTCCCCGAAGTTCACCTGAAACCCAATACATATGCTTCATAAATCTGCTGAACCCGAGAGACACAGATAAATTATATTGAAGCAGGGGAAAAAATGAAATGGATGGCACTATTCGGCGGTACGGTGTATACAGCTTTTACATTTGAACCAGGGGCTCGATATACTTAATATCGAATGACGTAGCCACTAAATCAGTCTATACCGTCTAACTGACAATTTTGACAAAAATCAGTCAGCAACTTTGCCGCATTCTACGGTATCAATTACGCAAGCTGGTGAGTTTAGTTTTTTTTCCATTATTGCAGGGGAGCGCTTCGATGACCCTGTAATGTATGAAAAAAAAATGCAAATCTAAATATAAAATTACCAATTGACAAAGTTCTCTTTCCGTTCTGCAAAATCGTCAGTTTGTAAATAAGCAATATTGTTCGTTAGCTATACGGACAAAACTGGATTCCTGATTTTGACAATTTTACAATAAAAAAAAACGACCATAAATATAAAACGAGATAACGATAAATAAACGATCACGTGGAAAGCAAATTTAACCACCCCCGTAATTAAATTCGCTTTCCCCTATGGTAAGATGAACATTTGAAACATGTCGGGCATATTTTTTAACAATTTAATTGTTAAATCAGCAATCAATTTTTTTTCGTGTGACTAACGAACAATACTGCCTGTTTGGAAACTGACGATTTTGCAGAACGAATTGACTTAGGAATTTCTAGAAAATTATGAAAAATTTCGGTAAAGGGTTCACTTCAATCACTTGACTAAGACCTTTGAGAGGTTATTAGTCCGGAACCGCTAAGATAGTTTACCTCCGGTATTGAACCCTAGGATCCCTAGTATGTATTAGCAAGCGTACAAGATTCTAAATTCCGTTCGATGCACTTTCGAATGTGCGTAAGGTTCGATGTAAGTTTCGGTAAGGCCGATCATGATTCAATATTTACTCCCCCGATATAGCTCCAAGTTTGAAGTGGAATGGAACGGATCGAAGCCTTGGAGGTACATTCAAATCGAAAACTTCGGGTGCGCAAGTTATAGATAAACTTGAAGTTGTGTATGCCATGGCTCGGAGTGTGACTTGTGCAGTAAGTTCACTTTCAGGAGCTTGTGTGGATGAATCTTGGTTCAGTGCTCAAATCCCGTAGAGGCTTCATCCAATCAACAAGCGTGCTTACAATATCACCAAAAGTTCAGCGACTGCAGATACGGGAAAAAAAGTACCCGACCCACTAACTCAGCTAAAAGAGAAAACACAAACCGATTGCGGTGAGCGCACGGGTCGTAAGACGGTATGTTGGAGTTTTTTAGCCGACGTCCGTTAAATTCAGCAGAAAGCTCATATCTCACCACAGAGAAAAAAAGCTCACACACAAGCACAATTTTCCCTCAAAGAGATACGCTGTTTGGTACAACCATTCGGTACAACAACCATGGTACAACCATAGTAACAACCATTCAGGAAGGCAACGGCAATCACATAACTCGGTTTGTGACGTCGCAGACTTCCTGTCATACTTTATTTTTTGAACGGAAAACTGCTCAACGGCAATTCTTTAAAACTGCCGTGATTTTTCTTCTCTGTGCGAAGAAAATTCTGCATGAACTTCAAGGAATGATGTCAATTTGTTCTCTTTCAAAAAAATAACATAGAGGCGGAGATTTTCAGACACCGCAAACGAGATATGTGATTGCCGACTTACATCGTCGATTTGTTCATTTAACCGTGGACGTAGTTAACCTAGCATTTTTTTTATTGTAAAATCAGCACTTGTACTCGTTACACATTTTTTCAACATTATAAATGCTTTCACAACATTCAATTTTTTTCCGTGCACGTTTCATTGCATAGAAAACGGTAACATCAATTATTCAATCAAATTTTAGTAACCGATACTGAAAATCTCCGTTTATTCAAGTCTCCTCTGCCCCGAGTGCGGCGCACAGTGGATCGAGTCAATTAGAGAGGTCGGACATGAAATGTTTGACTAGAACTGCAAATTTTGGTATTTATTTCGTCATATTTTACATTTTAAGGGGCGCTAAATTATGAAAATTTCACGAGGAAACCAATGGAACCACTTTCAGAACCTCTTAGTTTTGTATAAACGGAGTTAAAAGCGTTTAAAGTTTCTGAACTTCGTCCGACCTCTCCTTTTGACTCGATCCACCGTGCGGCGCAAATTGGATCGAGTCAATAGGAGAGGAGGGACATAATTTAGAAACTTTAAAAGCTTATAACTCCGTTTATACAAAACTTTGAGGTTTTAAAAGTGGTTCCATTGGTTCTCTCGTGAAATTTTCTGCTCGAAGCACCCCTAAACATTTAAAATATGACGAAAAAAAGTCAAACTTTGCAGTTTCAGTCAAAAATTTCATGTCCGACCGCTCTACTTGACTCGATCCACCGTGCGGCGTGACTTTGAGGACGCAGCAAACTTTCCGCTGGCCGCGGAGCGGAAGGGAGTGTTTCGGCGGAGCTGTCGGGGTGCGCAAGGGGAGGGGGGGCGTTTTGGGGCGAATCGACCCTCCGTTTCGGGCTGCGCGCGCAGAAAGCTCGGTCCGCTCTCCCATTGGTCGGAACGGCCAGCACTGTCGCGCGTCTCGTGGACGCTATGAAACGACGGATAAACGCGGGATTGCAGTTGGACTTGAGTGGTTTTTACCCGGAGCGGCGGCGCGGCACATAAATTATCCCCGGCGGTTCTGGGCCCGCGACGCGACGGCCCGATGCACAGATTTGAATTCTAATGCTCGTTTAAACTTCGCGCATACTTCGGCCCGGTGACAGGCGGCCTGCAACCGGCGCAAAATGGATCGAGTCGTTAGGAGAGGTCGGACAAAATTTGGAAACTTTAATCGCTTATAACACCGTCTACACTGGAAAAAAAACACATTGGATCCAGAGTCCAGACTTTTAAAAACATCGACAAGAAAAAATACTCTTGATTCAATCGGATTCTTGCTTAAATCAAGAACCAAGCCTCTTAATTTGAGCGTATTTCCTTTGGATTTAAGCAAAAATCTGATTGAATCAAGGGTATTTTTTCTTGTCAATGTTTTCAAGAGTTTGGACTTTAGATCCGATGTGTTTTTTTAAGACGTTTCTTATGTTTTCGCAGAGATTTCTCGAATTTCCAATATTTTAAGAGTAAAAATCGAGTCGTTAGGAGAGGTTGCACAAAATTAGGAAACTTTAAGCGCTGATAACTCCGTCTACACTGGGAAAAACACATTGGATCCAGAGTCCAGACTCGTAAAAACATCGACAAGAAAAAATACTATTGAATCAATCAGATTCTTGCTTAAATCAAGAACCAGCCTCTTAATTTGAGCGGATTTCCTTTTGATCCAAGCAAAAATCTGATTGAATCAAGGGTATTTTATTTTGTCAATGTTTTCGAGAGTCTGGACTCTAGATCCAATGTGGTTTTTTTTTTCGAGTGTATATGTCGAAGGCAAAAAGTCAAATCAGGCATTTTATCAAATGCCTAGGCAGATAGTCAAATTCTCAGAGGTTACGATGTTTCTCATGTTTCCACAGAGACCTCTCGAATTTCCAATATTTTAAGAGTAAAAATCGAGTCATTAGGAGAGGTCGGACAAAATTTTAAGGTTCTAAAAGTGGTTCTATTGGTTTCCTCGTGAAATTTTCTAAAAAAAAAAACTCTGTAAAATGAGCACCAAAATTTGCAGTTTTAGTCAAAAATTTTATATCCGACCCCTCTGATTGACTCGATCCTCTGTGAGGCGGCCTGCAATCCGCAACGAAGATGTTTCTTTCGACTTTAGGTCGTTTCCTGGACGAGGGAACGTAAATTCATTCCGAGGTTGAGAAATTGACTCAAACAATTCGATTTTTTACCGAAACTTGCCTATGCCACCCTCCTTCCGAAACTATTTTAAGTTGTTGCGTGTGATCAGAGGGAAAATCGAGAAAAGCAGGTAAATTGCTTATTACAAATGCCCAGGATTCTCTTGGTAAAAACGCGATTCGTGGGGTAAATTCGGCAACGTTCACCTAGAAGTAGTTACGTTCTGTCATAAAGGAAATGACAGTAACAAAGTGAAAATTAACATTCGCACGACGTAATCGTCTTTGGGGCAAATTAAAAACCAATTGAAAAGGGCTTTAAAAGACAACTGTCCAATAGCTATAAAGAGCTTAAGGTATCTATGCAACTACTGCATAAAATCAACTGAACCAAAAATATATAAAAACCACAATTTCCTAAAAGGATAATTAATAAATGACTCGAAATTATGTTAGACATCAAGCGAATTCTTAAAGATCAGGGCCGAATCAATCCTCTAATAGTCTCAATCGCTACTATAAAAGAAATTAAGATTAAAGGAGTTCCCAAAGTTTGTCATTTTTTGGGCTACGGTTCGTCGTTTCCATACAAAATAGCGTAACTACATTTTAGCGTTGTGGAGTTTTCAGCAGATAATCGTATTTTTAGTAAGGAACCGTTGCGCATTTTTAACTAAAAAACATTTAAACATTTTCCCACTGGCTCCACACAAAATTCAGCAAAAGTTTGGACAGAAACTGAGCAGCCAAATTTCTATAAAGGAAAATTTTAAAAAAATAAATAAAAGAAAAAATTAAATTTCTCTCTTTGTTTCTCTTCAGAAGAAAATGTTTGATGACCTTACTGTATCTAAAAAGTTACTCCATCTCTAAATCGCTCCAGTCATTTGATGCTTCACGTACAAAATTGAATTTGTATCGGGTTTTCCGAAAATTTAAAGTGAATCGATGGACGCCATATTTTGTGTCAGAACGGCATACGATATATAGCATCAATTGGTTCTATTTTTTCAGCTACTCGTCATTTTTCTCAAATTTTCAGATTGCAATTCTGTTGTCAGGAGACTAAAACACTCACTTACCAATTTTAACAAAGAAATTCAACGTAATAAAGGCGTATTTTTTTTTAGAGAGAAAATAACGCATTCGAGTGCAGTTTCCATATCAGTATCGAATGCGATGTTTTCTC